CAGTTCTCCTTTGTCCTGTGTGTTGGAATCAACAGCAAGGGATTTGGACTAAGTGGATTAAGTGATAAATAACATGTAATACATATCATGGCGCCAGTAGTAAGGGTTCCCTCGGTGAGACAGCTGTGCAAAACCCAGGAGGCCAGGAATTTATGGAATACCAATGACAAAGTTCCAGCCAACAGAGGTAGCGATGATGTGCTCACCAGGTTGTGCCCAAAACACCAGGGGACAGCTACCTGACTCAGTGTAAGGGAGCTTTATTAATTCTCATTCCCAAAAAAGGTATTGAAGAGCAAGAAAGTCAGTTCAGAGACTAAGGTGCACCAGGTCCAAGCCACGGTCTTTTCATTTCCTTGCTGTGCATCTGAAAGTTGGACAGTGATTGAGAATGACAGATGAAGAATCAAAGCCTTTGAGTTGTGGTGTTGGAGAAGAATAGTTATTATCCCATGGACTGCCAAAAGAGGGAACAGGTCTCTCCTGGAAGAAATGCAGCGAGGGTGCTTCCTGGAGGTAGGGATGGTGGCGCTCCATCTTACACACTTTGGGCATGTTGTAAGGAGGGGCCAGGCCTTGGAGAAGGACAGCATGCTTGGAATGAGGAGAGTCAGCACAAGAGAGGAAGAGTCTAAATGAGTGTCTGACACAGTGACTACAGCAATGGACTCCAGTATGTCAGATGATGAGGATGGTACAGGATAAAGCAAGGTCAGAGCTGTTGTTCATAGGGTTGCTGTGAGTCATACTCGACTCGATGGCACCTAACAACAATAATATGGAATGAGATATTCTCCACTATAAGAAAATTATTTCAAAATCTGCAGTGTTAAACAAAATAAGGAATAAGGATTAATACTTCACTAAAATACTTTTTTTTCCTTTTTTAAATTATCAGGGAAAATGAAGGGCAGAAAGCACTCTTTAAGTTAAATCTAACATATAGCCATGGTGGGACAAATTTCTGTTTACACACATGGTGACTGTTTTTTCATGAAGTGAGGTGAGGTCGTACGCTTCCTCAGCCTCCCAGGCTTGTTCTCTGAGCATTGTTTAATCAGGGACATGGTAGCTCTCTGCTCCCTGACATGCAAGCACTTTGGGTTCTGTACACAGTGAGCCATACATTTTCCCAAAAGTTACTGCCATAAAAAAATTACTGCCACATACAAAGTTTAATAGCTTTAATAGTTGTACTTAAAAGTACATTCAGATGATATTTTACACATGCAGTACCCCAATCTTTGGCTTTGAATGATTAAAAATCTTTCTTGAAAAAGCTTTAGATAGGAAGTAATTTCCTCCAAATATGCAGATGGAGAACGGCAAGAATTCACACACAACCTGGGATAAACAGATGGGCCTTACAATACTGTTGGCATGAGCTGTTTCCCAAGGATAGTGGCCAAATACCTTTTGCAGAAAAATCACAGATCTGGTTCAGGTACCTTTATCATTTGTTTGCACTAATGTGATAGCCTCATTGCCTTTATTTTTATAAGTTTAGATGTCTTTAAAAATGGGAACATCTCTAACAACCAGGGGGGGCTCTTGTGGCCTACTGGTAAGGAGCTACACTACCAACCCAGAGGCACATAGTTTGAATCCTCCCGTCGCTATGTGATAGAAAGATGGGCTGTCTCCTCCTCTGTGAGGTACTGCTTCTGAAAACTCCTTGGGGGACCAGCTGTGATTTGGTTAGGACTCGATGGTATATGACAATAACAACAGCAACCTACATTAACCATTTCTGTGTACATATTTGCTTTCCTAGCCATTACTTAATAGAACAGAGCAAGGGGACACTGCATGGTTCAGAATCAAGAAAAGTGGATCAGGGCTGTATTCTTTCTCCATACCTATTCCCAGAACACTTGATTGTGCTCATGTGAAACCTTTACTTAGACCAGGAGGCAGTTGTCAACACAGAATAAGGAAACACTGCATGACTCAAATCAGGAAGGAAGTGTGTCAGGGATGCATCTTGTCTCCATACTTTTTCAATCTATATGCGGAACAGATCTTTCGGGAGGCTGGGCTTCATCAGGAGGAGTGTGGAATCCGATTGGAGGAAGACTCATCAACAGCCTGTGTTATGCAGATGACACAACCTTGCTTGCTGAAACAGAGGAGGACCTGAAGTGTTTATTGTGGAAGATCAAGGACTGTAGTCTTCAATGTGGATTGAAGCTCAACATCAGGAAAACAAAGATTCTCACTACTGGGCCAATTGACAGCACCATGATGGATGGATGGATTGAGGTGGTTAACAACTTCAGCTTGCTTGGCTTCACAATCAAAACTCTTGGCACTAACATCATCAACAGTCTGTATAGTGCAGATGACACAACCCTGCTTGCTGAGATGGAGGAGGTCCTGAAGCACTTCCTGCAGAAGGTCAAGGACTGCCACCTTCAATATGAATCAAAGCTCAACATCAAGAAAACCAGGATTCTCACCACTGGGGCTATTGGCAGCATTGTGATAGATGGTTAAGAGATTGAGATTATTAACAGCTTGAGTTTGTTTGGTTTCACAATCAAACCTCTTGGTACCAGCAGCCAGGAAATGAAAAGATGAATTGCATTGGGAAAGTCTTCCGTCAGAGACTTCTCCAAAGTACTGAAGAGCAATGATGTCAGTTTGGAGACTAAGGTGTGTCTGATTTGGGCCACAGCCTTTGCAATTACTTGTTATACATCAGAAAGCTGAACAATGACAAGGGATGATAGAAGGAGAATTTATACCTTTGAGCTCTTGGCACCAGTAGTCACGAAATCAATAGACACATTACCTTGGGGAGGGTCTCCTGTCAGGAACTTCTCCAAGTGCTCAAGATCAGTGATGTCAGTCTAGAGACAAGGGTGTGCCTAATCCAGACCATGGTTTTCTCAGTTACTTGCTGTGCGTTGAAGTGTTGGATAGTGACTAAAGATGACAGAAGAAGAATCAATGCCTTTGAGTTGTGGTGCTGGAGAAGAGTATTGAACATACCATGGACTGCCAGTAGAACAAATAGGTCTGTCTTGGAGAGGGTAAAACCATTTTTCCTTAGAGGCAAGAATTTTGAAACTTTCTCTCACATACTTTGGGCATGTGGCCAGGAGGGACCGGTCCTCAGAGAAGGACATCATGCTTGGAGGGGTTGAGGGAAGAACAGCACAGGAGAAAATGACCCTGTATGAGATGGAATGACACTGGAACAATGGAGTTAGGAGTGTCAGAGTCAGTGAGACTAGCTCAGGAAAGGGCAGAGTTCAGAGCTATTGTACATAGAGTTGCTATGAGTTACATGTACATAACAACATTTAGTCTGTATGCTGAGCAAATCATTCAGGAGCTGGACTTTACAAACAAGAATGTGGCATTAAGATTGGAGAAAGACACATCAACAATTTTTATTATGCAGATGACACACCTTACTTGCTGAAGTGAAGAGAACTTGAAATGCTTGCAGCAGGGGTTCAAGACTGCAGCCTTCAATATGGTTTAATACCCCAACACTGGGACAACAGAAATCCTCAACACTGTGCTGATAGGCAAGAAATCATGATAGACAGAGAAATGATTAAAGTTGTCAACAGTTTCATCTTAATGAGATCCATAATCAACACCCTGGTACCAGCAGTCAAGAAATCAAGACATGTCATGTTGGAGAAGTCTTTTGTCCAGCATCTTCCCAGAGTCCTAAGAAACAGTGATATGAATTTAAAGACTACGATGTACCTATTCAAGCCATTTTCATTTACCTGTTAGGCATCTGAGAGTTGGATAGAATATGGAAGACAGAAGAAAAATCAGTGCATTTGAGTGACGGTGTTGGAGAAGAGTATTGATAATCCACAGACTTCCAAAAGAACAGATGTTTTATAGAAAGAGAGCAAACAGAGTGCTCCTTAGAGGCACAGATGATGAAGCTTCTCACATTTCTTGGGTATGTTGTTAGGAGGGGCTATTGCTTGGAGAAGGACATCATGGTTGGAAAGGTGGAAGATTTGAGAAAGAGAGGAAGACTGTCAATGAGATGGATTGACACAGTGACCACAGCAGTGTGTTTAAGTGTATTAGAGATGAAGAGGATGGGACACTGTTCCGATGTGTGTTGTTCAGGATGTCACTTTGAGTCTTAGTTAACTCTATGACACCAAAAACAACTTACATATTAAACATTGCATTTTAAAACCATGGTCATGATTCTTGTATCATAATTTTATATACAGCTCTCTTATATTTAGTAGTGAATTTTAAAAGTTATTTTAAGTTTAAGCTCCCCCCCCCAAGTCTTTGGATTATGAGGAATGTTGACCTTGAATTAAGATTAGTTTGGCAAAAACACTATTCTGCTTTAATAATGTAATTTTTTTAATTATTGAAGAAATGTAAATTAAAACTGCTTGTATCTAGGATATTATTACTAAGAGATTCTAGAAATTTTTGGTCTTAAGTCTTCAGTTGTAGTTCTTCTTGGAACATTTAAAAGTCCTCTTAGTTAATTTGTTTTAAAGTGACAGCTCAGAGGCATTTAGTTCATTCACAGTGTTGTGCCAACTACCAGCTCTATTCCAAAACATAAAACATTTTACCTGTAAAGCAGTACTTGTCACCCATCCTTCTCTCAGCCCCTGGCAGCCACCACATAAAAGAAAAAAGTAAGTACCTTGTGTATGTTGGTAGCGTATCTCAACACAGTGAGGCAGACACAAATCTGTTGTCTGACAAAGTAGAATCTAATTTTAGGTGGTAGTCTTTTCTTCCTTGTTCATTACATTATACCATCAACATGCCTTTTGATAAGCTCAGTGGGCAGGCTCAGTCTAGATATTTGACTTTGGCAGGAGAAGTATGAAATAGTTGGAATAGTTTCACTGAGTATTTATTGCTCACTGAATGTACACTTGTTTGAGCACTGCCTTTTTTTTCTTTTTTTTTAAGCTGAGGAATAAAATAGCAAAGTGTTTCTTCACCATCCTTTGTTCTTACCTTGCATTTTTACCTTTTAGGTTTTGGCATAACTTTTGCAAAGAGGATGATTTGGTGATGGAGTTCTCCCACTGACTGATGGACTCAAAGAAGAGAAGGTAAAACCATTTCTTCCTTCTCCCCTATCCTTCTAGAACATAGCAAGCACCACCATATCTGTATAGTTCTGTCCGTTTAATTTTCTTGTCAATGACTGTTAAGTGAAGAAGGACATTTGTGGTTCACTACTAGAAAAAGAAAATTAAGCTTTTTAGTGATAAGCTTTGTTGCTAGTTTTGCTTATATTTATAATCAAATAAACTCATTGCCGTAGAGTTCATTCTGACTGACTCACAGCAGCTACCCTGTAGAGGGTTTTCTATTGTGTAAATCTTTACAGAACCAGACTGCTACAACTGGTAGGTTTGCATTGCCAACTTTTATTTAGCAACCAACCATTTAATCACTGCTCTACTATGTTTCTGGCTTAAACTTAAAGGGAACAATGAATGCCTTTTTAATTTTAAAATTCTTGTAGCATTCTTTCGGTTAATTTCAGACTTTCAGAAGTCTAATTATATTCATCTATCATCCTTAGGGAACTAGTCATGAAAGATATTTCCAATGGTTGCTTAAATTTTATGGACTTGCTTTCCATAAAATCATGACTATTACTCACTTAACATTTTAGAAGAATATCATTTGACTAACAGAAATTTCTGTTATAAAAATAAAACACTTGAGAAAAGCTTTTGTGTTTCAGTAAAATACTGCTATCAGTGTTCTAAAAAAATGAAAATAAAGTACTATCAGTGGGGACATATGTGAAAACTTTTCTTTTAATGAAATCTTCAATATCTTAATGTGTTCTTTTCTAATACAACTGAGTATTCTTGTGTTTCTTGCCAGAAGTTATCAGGTGAGCAAATTTCTTCATCTAGAACATGTATAAAACTTGTTTTACTAGTACTTATAAATTTGATTCTTAAATTTTCAAGTAGCAATTACAGAGCATAAACTCAATTTAAAGTACAATATGGATCCCTATTTCTTTTTGGGTGGGGCTTCACATTATTTTTATAGTTTAAA